GCGGTGGAAGATAGGAGGGCCTGGCGTGCTCTGGTCCATGGGGTCACGAAGAGTCGGACACGACTAAACGACTGAACAAACTAAATAGCCACCCAGAGTTGTTGTACAGACCAGATGGGCGGGATATAAATCAAATAAATAAATAAAGTATAGAATTTATCTTTGGAACATGTTTTTTCAAAGGGGAAAGGCTATAGGCCAGCAGAAGAATCCATGTATTTCCGGAGAAGTACAGTGCAAGACAGATAGGGAAAGTTACAGAAAATTGAATGCAGACATCCAAAGAATAGCAGCGAGAGACAAGAGGGCCTTCTTAAACGAACAGTGCAAAGAAATAGAAGAAAATACAGTAATAGAAAGGGAAAAACCAGAAATCTGTTCAAGAAAATTGGAGATGTTAAATGAAGATTTTGTGCAAAGACGGACATGATAAAGGACAAAATGGTAGGGACCTCACAGAAGCAGAAGACATCAAGAAGAGGTGGCAAGAATACACAGAGGAATTATACCAGAAAGATCTGGATATCCCGGACAACTCAGATAGTGTGGTTGCTGACCTTGAGCCAGACATCCTGGAGAGTGAAGTCAAGTGGGCCTTAGAAAGCATGGCTAACAACAAGGCCAATGGAGGTGATGGCATTCCAGGGGAACTATTTAAAATCTTAAAAGATGACGCTGTTAAGGTGCTACATTCAATATGCCAGCAAGATTGCAAAACTCAGCAGTGGCCAGAGGATTGCAAAAGATCAGAATACATCATGCGAAAGGCAGGACTGGATGAATCAAAAGAACAAGGTAGGCATCAGCAGTATGTGGACCGAAAACTCCCAGAAGTACAAGCTGGATTCCGAAGGGGCAGAGGAACTATAGACCAAATTGCTAACATGCGCTGGATTATGGAGAAAGCCAGAGAGTTCCAGAAAAATATCTACTTCTGCTTCATTGACTATGCAAAAGCCTTTGACTGTGTGGACCACAGCAAACCATGGCAGGTTCTTAACGAAAAAGGAGTGCCTGACTACCTTATCTATCTACTGAAAAATCTATATGTAGAACAGTGTCATGAGTTCTGCCGAAGAAGATCTGGAATCTGAAGGGTTAATTACAACTGAGGACAATGCTAGGCAATCAGAATCACAGGCAGCTGAATCACCACCAGATTCTCCTCCCCCAGCAGCCAGAGTAAAGGACAAGCTTCGGCAGGGACTCATGACACGGTTGTAATCGAAGTAATTCCAAGGTCCTTTGGTAAAAGGGTTACTGCCATCTAAATCAAAGGGTTCCGTCCCCGGTTCTAGTAACAGGATTGTCTCTTCATCTCTCCCCTCTGGATCATAGGGGTCTTCTTCTCCTCAAAGAGGGGCCCACAGTCCATCAGAAACCCTCTCCTCTGGGCTTCCTCCAGATGCCATAACCGTCTTTCTCTCTTTTCTCTCTCAACTGCCTCCTTAATTAATCAATTAATTAATACCCCTCCTATCTGGTTGTTTCAACTCCTTCTCTTCCCGGAGTCTCCGATGCCACTCTCACGCCTCTGACTCTTCCCAGTGCGAAGGTCGAGGGGGAAGCCCCTTTCCTGTCTGATAATCAGCCTCCTCCCATGGGACCCGAACCTTTTCCCATCTCCCGGTCCAGGGGTCTTTAACCCAAATCATCTCCTAACCACCCGGTATCACATCTACCCTCCTTTTATTTCCCCTATTCCAGCCTCCACGATGGTCCTTCCCCTTTCCTCCCTTCCCTCCATTTCTCTCTCTCTGTCTGAGTGGCTACTGTCACTTTAGACAGTCCCCGTTCTAGCTCACAGGTCCACTCCCTGTTGTATCATTGCGACAGGTGGTGTAAGCGGATCTGTTTGCGCCTCCTGTTCTTCCCTGGGGGAGGAGGACACTCCGGCGAGGGCTTCTCCCCTCTCGCCTCGTATCTCACAGTCCCCTGGACTGCAAGGAGAACAAACCTATCCATTCTGATGGAAATCAACCCTGAGTGCTCCCTGGAAGGACAGATCCTGAAGCTGAGGCTCCGGTACTTTGGCCATCTCACGAGAAGAGAAGACTCCCTGGAAAAGACCCTGATGTTGGGAAAGGGTGAAGGCAGGAGGAGGAGAAGGGGACGACCGAGGACGAGATGGTTGGACAGGGTCATCGAAGTGACCGACTCCAGGAGGCAGTGGAAGAGAGGAGGGCCTGGCATGCTCTGATCCATGGGGTCACAAAGAGTCGGACATGACTTAACGACTAAACAACAAACTGGGGAGTAGGGCTTTGTCTTTTTAAAGATATTTTCCTTCATTTAATGTCCTTCTCCTTCCCTCTCCCTCTCTGACCAAAGCTGCTCAGGGCTGAAGGAGGGAGGGTTGCCTCCACAGCGGTGCCAAAGAAACAAAGGTTCCTCCAATCTGATGATGGTACACAGAGTAAAACATTTCCAAAATTCAAACATTCTTGTCTCTAATTCTAGTAACAACAATCAACATTCTCATCAGACAGTTTAAAATTTAACTGTCCCATGGGAGTGAGTCTTTGCCTTTTATTAATACAGTTCATTCACAAAATAACTTTCTCCCCTTCCTCCCTCTTTCTCCTTCTCCTGATCCAGGCTGAAGGATGGGGATGGGGGAAGTTCGCTTTTGCCAGGGCTTGGAGAATTAACAGCTCTAATCCGCTTTCACTGACTCCTTAGGCCCCTCTCTTTTCTGTACCATTGTTTTAGATCCATAAAGCTTTTCCTTGTATAAAGCAAATAACTTGACTTACTCAGAGTCCTGGTCAGAATATTTTCCGAAAAGCCTTCTGTACTCTTTCTCTCTCTGCAACAGGTGTTCCCAGCTCTTTGCCCAAGATGGCTTCCTCCTCGGTCTGTGCACCGCAGACATGACGGTGGGGTGGGGACAGCTTCCACCACTTTCTCCCCTTTTGTCGCCTCCGCTGCTTCAGACACCGCTTTTCCTAGTGGACTGTCTTTTTGGCCCCTAATTTGGGAGGTTGAAACAGAGGGGTTTCAGCAGATAACACACGGGTGGAATAGCTAGTATCTTGGAAGACAGGAACAAAATTCAAAAAGATCTTGATAGGCTTGAACATTGGGCTGAAAACAATATAATGAAATATAAAATAATAAGTGCAAAGTTCTACACCTATTCATTCATTCATTCATTCATTCATCCATCCATTCATTCATTCATTCATTCATTCATTCATTCATTCATTCATTCATTCATTCGATTTTTGCCCCGCCCCTCAAGACAACGTCTACTCCATGCAGTTTACAAATCTATTACTGCTTCTGTGGAAAGTTGGCTTCTGCAATAGAGTGAGGGTACTATCTTGTCCATTATCTCTGGCAGTAAAATGTCTTAGATCAGGCTTGTCTGTCACATGACATGCTGCTCAGATTCTCCTAGCATGCTGTACTAATCATGCAGAAGGTAGAATCCCACTGTTTGGCTGCTGGAATCTCCATTTGAAGACATACACAACATCCTTGGTGTTTTATATGTGGAATTGTCTGAACAACACTAATTGGGTTTGCAGTGACTTTGCCTCCTGAGGAGGCTATGATGACAAACAGGAACAAGTTCAGAGGAGGGCAACAAGGACGATCAGGGGGCTGGAAACTAAGACAAAAAGAACTAGGCATGTTTCACCTTGAGAGAAGAAGACAGAGGGGAGGTGGGACAGCATTCTTCCAGTACCTGAAAGATAATCATACAGTGGAAGGGCAGGGTCTGAGTGGAGGACATGTAATAATGGGCTCCAACTCCAGGAACCCAGATTTTGGCTGAGTATCAGGAGAAACGTCTTTACTGTTAGAGCAGTATGACACTGGAGCCCATGACCTCAGGGGGAGGTGGGGAGTACTCCAGCACTGGATGGATGGCCTTCAAGAGAAAACTGGTCCACCCTCTGTCCGATCTGCTTTACTTTGGATTCCTGCCTTGGCCGGGGGGGGGGTTTGACTCCGTGGCCTGAGAGGTCCCTCCCAACTCTGTCATTCTAAGAGTCTATGACAAGTTGTTCTTTTTATTCCTTTTTGTGCCTCCGCTCTTTGTAGCCAGTGTTCCATTTCTTGCATATTTAAGACAAGTGCAGTCTTCGCTCTTTCGTATTATGGTTTGGCCTGAGATACAGTATTTACATACCTTGTTTGTTTTTGTTTGCTTTGCCAAAATTCATGCAGAATTTCTGGCACCATCTGCCTAGGTCTTTATGTTCAGGGGAATTTGTCCTGGTTGGGTCGCTTTGTAAGCAGGGGGGGGGCTTCTTCTTGGGGTTGATGGCATTATCCCATTATGGCAGTTAAGTTCCCATTGTTTTCAATGACCCCTGAGTTGTTTGGAGAATTTTGACATTATAGATGATCCCTTTGAGTGTTTTCCCAGCTGGGTTGAATTGGATAGTGCTGGGATCCCTCCTCTCAGTTGATTTGCACAGCCTCAGGGCGCTTGTGCACCAGGAACCAGATCCCTGGCCCTCTGCTTTGTCTCCTGACCAGCTGCCCAGGTTCCACGGGACCTGGGTTTGGGGCATCTGGAGCAATTGTCTCTTAGGAGCCCATTTCCTGCTGGGGCTGTGGAGAAGTGGCTTAGCTCTGCTGCTGCCTTCCCAGCACAGCCAGGGCTCCTCACCTCTGGCTTTTGGTGGTCTCCCTGAATCTCTGCTTTTATTTTGCCCCCCCCCCTCCATTTAGGTGAATCAGCGTAATGTTCCTGGGATTGACAGTGCCTACCTGGCAATGGATACAGAAGAAGGTGTGGAGGTGGTTTGGAATGAGGTCCAGTTCTCAGAGCGCAAGAACTTCAAACTCCAGGAGGTTTGTGAGGCTGGAATCGGGGGTTGCGGGAAGCGCCTTTCCTTCTTTCTTTTCTCACTCGGGTCAGAGCACTGCACCATTAATAATCAGGGACACCTATGAAATGATAGGCAACATTTAAAAACCAGTGAAAATGCCAAAGCAATCAGACTGTTTTGGACCCGAAGCAGTCAGAGCTTGAGGTGGGTGCAGAACCTTTTCCTCGACTTTAGCCGTCGTCCGGGGGTGCGGGGGGTCAGCGTCCATGAAGGGAGTGGGTTCAGGGCTCTTCCCCTGCAGCGCTTTTGGAAGTGAAGGATTGGCTGGCTGTACGCTGTTGTTGCCCAGGGGATGCTTGCCTGCTTGCCTACATTCACAATGCTTTCCCCATCTTTGGGGAGGCTCTGGGTTGAAGGCCAGCAGAGAGTCGAGGCTGGTGCCCGTTGACTGCCGGTGGCTGAATGGGGAGGGGGGAGGCCGGCTTGCTTCTCCTCCTCCTCCCTGCCTACAGCAGGCTCGCTCGAGGGTTGAGGCCATGAGGCTGGACACAGAAGGGCCGGTCTGGTGCTGTGTTGTAACCCTATCCATCTATCCATCCGTGCAGGAGAAGGTGAGAGCTGTCTTCGACAATCTGATTCAGCTGGAGCACCTGAATATTGTGAAGTTCCACAAGTACTGGGCTGATGTCAAGGAGAACAAGGCCAGGGTAAGTGAGCTTGGCCTTCCGGTGTGGGCTTGCGCCTGCCCGGTCCCTGCCTGTAACTGTTCGTCAGGGACCGGTGACTTCAGCAGCTCCTTTCCTCCCTTTCCCCAGGTCATCTTTATTACGGAGTACATGTCCTCTGGTAGCTTGAAGCAGTTTCTAAAGAAGACAAAGAAGAACCACAAGACCATGAATGAGAAAGTGAGCCCCCCCCTTTCCTTCCTCACACTCGACACCCACCATTCCATGCCAGGCAGGGTGGTTCTGGCTCTGGCCCAGGGGTCTTGGGAAGCCCTTTCCTGCTGCCTGCCCTGTCAGATGCCGCCCCCCCCCTCTTAGCACCCTGAGGAAGAGCTGGCCCCTGTGCGGGACGGCCTATGGCCAGGTGGGGGAGGGAAGGCAAGAGTCCCCAGCAGTGGAAAGGGGGCTGTTGTCCAATTTATTTATTTATTTATTTATTAAATTTATGCCCCGCCCCCTAGACCATGTCTACAATGAGGACTCACAGGGCACTCTTTGGGTTTGTTGCAGGCCTGGAAGCGCTGGTGCACCCAGATCCTTTCTGCTCTGAGGTAGGTGCTTTTGCTTGGGTGGGCAGGCAAACAGCAGTCAGCGCTGTGCCTTGCTTGCAGGATGGGTTAGGGTTAGGGTTCAGTTTGAGCCTGTTAGCCCTGGTCCGGACATTGCAATCAGGCAATGCTCCAGTGTCCGGACAGCATCCACTGCAGACGTGGTGACGGAGAGATAGAGCTGTGTGTCATCAGCATACTGATGACGCCTTACTCCAAAACTCCTGATGACCTCCCCCAGTGGTTTAACCTAGATTTTCAACAGCATCCGATTTTAATCAGTGCCGGTCCCTGAGGAACCCCCATACTGGAAGCGTACAAGGGGCCGACACCTCCTCCCCTAGCGGAACTCTCTGGACATGGTTCCCGAAGAAGGGTCAGGGCCAGCTCAAGGCTAAGCCCCTAATCCCAACCTCAGAGAATCTGTCCAGGAGGATACCATGGTCGGCGGTATCAAAAGCCACCGAGAGATCTAGGAGTACCAACAAGGCGCATCTGCCCCTGTCAGCCTCCCTTAAAAGGTCATCCTGCGGCATGACCAATGTCGTCTCCGTACCTTGTCGCAGCCTGAATCCGGTGGAATGGGTCCAGGCAAACCTGCTCCTCCAAGTACGGCTGCAGCTGATTCACCACCACCCTCTTGATCATCTTGCCCAGGAATGGTATGTTAGCGATCGGACAGAAATGGTTAGGGTGGTCTGACGCTAACTGGAGGTGTTTGATGATAGATCAGGTGATTATTTCTTTTAAGCAGGAGGGAAGCATTCCTTCCTCAGTGATGAATTAATAATGTTCACGACACAATCGATCATAGCCCCCTTTGTGGCTGTGGTCAGCCACGCCAGGCAAGGATCCAGCGAGGAGGTGGTGGGCCTAAGCCTAACCCTTGACAGCAGGGTCAAACTGAACCCACTGGGCAATGAAAGATTGGTCAGCGAGGGTCGCCCCCGGATCAGCTGGACTACTGGTGGAGTCAGGGTCAGCACAAATGGCCTCGGTTTTTGTTTTTAAAAAGGCTGCAAACTGATCACTGGTGAACTCGAAGCCTTGAATGGCCAGAACTGGTAAGGTCGCAGACCATCCGGAACAATTCCGCTTGTCGGATCGCAGCCTCACCAATCCTCTGGATGTTAAAAGTCTTTTTTCTCTATTCAAGGGTATTAGCATATTTATTGGCCATTGTTTGAACTGCAGCCCTGTTTTGTGCTGACTGATCTCTTCTCCACCTGCTCTCTAGCCACCTCCTTGATAACTTCATAGCTCACAGCCCCTCAGTATAGCAAGGAGCAGTGCAAGCCCTTGAGCAGAGAGGGCAGTTGGGGGTGATCGTGTCAGCCGCCTGGGTCCTCTCGAAATACCACCATCTATTGACCTGTCCCCAGCAGCCTCGGGGGCAGCGTGCGCTGCTGCAGCCTTGCCCCCCCCTCTGAAGCACGCGGTGGGAAGCCTCCCGTGTGGCTGCCCCAATGCCTGACTTTTCCCTGTCTCTTTCTTGTCTTCCCAGTTATCTTCATTCCTGTGACCCCCCCATCATCCACGGGAACTTGACGTGTGACACCATCTTCATCCAGCACAATGGGCTGATCAAGATTGGCTCAGGTAGGACCATATGTGTGTGTGTGTGCGTGTGCGTGTGTGTGTGTGTGTGTGTGTGTGTGTGTGTGAGAGAGAGAGAGAGAGAGAGAGAGAGAGAGAGAGCCAGGATGGGGAGGGGAGGGGACTGTGGTCCCTCCTCCTCCTCCTGCCTTTTGTCCTGCCCTGTTGGCTCTCCGGCCACCTAGGAGAGGCACATGGGACCTGGCCTGCACCCCATGCCTCTCCCGAATGCCAGGACTGATGTTGGCTCGGCCTGTTGCCTCAGCTGGCTTTGCTCCCTCTGCTGCCCAGGTGTGGTCCTTTCCCGGGGGGGGGGACTGCAAACTCCCCGGCCCTCCCTGTCGGTTTCCACTCTGGTTGGAGGGCTCTTTTCCTTCATAGGGGCTTCCCAGCTGGCCAGTGACTGGGAGGAAGGACATGAAGCCCTGAGCAGCCGGCCAGCTGCCAGCCTCTGCTGATCTGCCCCCCCCCACTCTGGGCGCCTGTGGGGCCCATCCCAAGAGCCTCCTGGCTGCCTTTCCCTCACAGCCCCACAGCCGTCCTTTCCTCTTGAGCTTTCCTGGGGTGGAAATGGCCGATGCCCTCCCAACACGATTGGGGTGGGTAGGTGGGGAGCCGACCCGTGCCTGGAGGGCCTTGAGCCTTTCTGGAGGTCCAGCCCTGCCAGGGACCTTTCTTTGGCCACCGCCACTCTTGTTTGCTTGTCTGGGGGGGGGGCGGGCGGTGGCACTGCCGTTCTAGAGCAGAGCTCTCCCTTGTGGCAGAGCAGCTGACAGGGGGCTCAAAATATCCAGCCTGCCCACCCTTCACTCTGGTGGCCTCACGCCAAGGCAAGGGGTCACCCAGCGGAAGGCACCATCCCCAGCGGCTGTGGCTAGCAGGGATACTCCTGGCACATTCCCCTCCGGCAACATCGGGTCCCAGGAAGGGGTGTGGCTGCCTCAGCTCCTCGAGGTTTGGCCTTGGCACGTTTGGGGCCTCACTTTGCTCTAAAGGAGCCTGGCTTCCAAAGCCGTTCCGTGGCTTCTCTTCGTTTACTGGCTGGTCCTCACTTTAACCGGCCTTTGTGCCCTCTTTTGCCAACAGAGAAATTTGTGAATGGAAGAAACCGGGGGGGGGGTCTTCTTAGTGGAGGAGGAGATTCTCCTTCGCTTCCTGTCCCACAACCTCCCTGTGAGGTAGGCTTGGTAGGCTCCACAGGTGCCCTTGGTCAGCTCCTCCCCTCTGCCTCAGCTAGCATTGAGCTCAGTGAGGGATGATGGGAGTTGTAGTCTGGCTACATTTTTGGGGGGGCAGTCTCTTCATACGTGGCAGCATGTGGGGCTGCTGGAGAGGAATTTGAGAGGGAGGATGTGACCCAGGGCGCCCATGCCGCAGAGGTGGGCCTGGCTGTGTCCTCAGGGCGGACAGTTCCCCCACCCCACCCGCAAAGGGGAGGAAAGCTCTGGGCCTGGCCGTCGGCCAGGGAGTCAGTCCGCTTGCACCCCTTTCTTGGGACGGGAAGTGGGGGCGGCTTCCGGGAAGCTTGCCAACTCTCCCTTGCGGGCTTGGGAGTTTGGGGCCCACAGGGACCCAGTGCTGGAGCCGTGGAGTCTGTGGGTGACGGAGAGGCCGCTGCTCGGCAGGGGCAGAGGGGTCAGGGCCAAGCTGGGCTGAGAAGGAGGGCCTGAGCGAGAACCTCTGGGCTGCTGCTCGGGGAGGCCGAGCCCAGAGACCAAGGGACACGAGGCCAGCAGGCAGGCGCCCCAGTGTTGCCACAGGGGAGGTTCTGGGCTGCTGAGATTTCCTCCAGCAGTTGGCGGGGCGGGGGAGCGGGAGCCGCAGGGCTGGTCAGAGGTTCTGGCAGAGCCCGTCCAGCGCCTTCTCCCTCCCTCCCAACGGGTTGCCGGAGGCACGGGGACTGGGGGGGGGCACAGAGCTTCCTGGGTTCTCCTTTACTCGCAGGTACAAGGAGTGGGGAGCACAAATGCAACCGCCTCCGATCCCTGGATCGTGCCTGCAAAGCGCCCCCGCTCCCCTGCATGGGGGCAGCCCAGAGGGGAGGGCGAAGAGCACCTTCCCTTGCGGGCCTGCCTCCTCTTGCCCCCACCCTCTCTCCTCCCCAGGGTCAGTCTGCAGCAAGGCTGGCCTGCTGCCAGGCCCTGAGGTTTTTTTCCCCCCCAAATTTTTTATTTTTTTAACATAAAGGATGACAGAAAAGAAAAAGGGAATTGGAATTGATGAGGAAGAGGGGAGACAATAACATACTTTCATCCATTTTATACCTATTGTCATATCAAGATTTTAAGTTATTCTATTTACTCTTTTCTTCTTTGTAGATTGAGTTATCATTTCAATATATGCTATTCATAAGCTGCCTGTTGATTCAGTCCACTTGTTAAATAGATCCCATCTTTCTGTTGCCTTTTGCAAGGGATAGTCCTTCATGACTTCTGATAAAATGTCCATTTCGGCTATTTCCCGTATCTTTTCAATAAGATCTTCTTGTTTCAGTACCGTTGGTCTTTTCCAATTTTTAGCATATAGAATTCTGGCTGCCGTAACTATGTATATAACTATATATTCCTTTGACTTATCTATATTTTCAGGCATCATACTCAATAAAAACAATTCTGGGGTTAATGGCACCTTACAGAGCAATATTTGTTCCAACATAACATGTACTCTTTTCCAATATTGTTTCGCTACTCCACATGACCACCACATATAATAGCTTCCCACTTGTGTTTCACATTTCCAACACTTATTTGATACGTCTGTATACATCTGTGAAAATTTTTCTGGGATCATGTGCCACTTATAAAACATCTTATATATATTCTCTTTAAAGTTCACCGATCTTGTAAGCTTTATGTTATTTTGCCATATTTTCAGCCATTGATCAATATCAATATTATGCACTATATTTTGAGCCCACTTGATCATACATTCCTTAACCATTTCATCTTGCATTTTAATTTCCAACATATAATTATAAATTTTCTTAACAATTTGTTCTTTTGAACCTAACAAAAGTTTATCAAAAATCGTTTGGTCTGAGTAGAAGCCTTCTATTTTATCTTTCGTATATCTAGATTCTAACTGTGCTCTAGGCCACCAATCAATATATATGTTCTGTGACTCTAGCTCTTCTTTAGATTTTAGTTCACCATCCTTTTTTAATAGATCTTGATATCTTAGTTTGCTTTTGTCATAAAATTAGGTTGAGTAAAGGCCTCTATCGGTGACACCCATACAGGTATTTTGTAATAAATTTGTTGTACAATTTTTCTCCACATTCCCAGTAAAGCTCTTATCATATGTGAATTGAAATTCTTTTGTTCTTTATCCTTTTTGTACCATAAATAAGCATGCCAGCCTAATTGCAAATCATGTCCTTCCAAGCTAAGTAATCTATCATTTTCTAGAGTTATCCATTCTTTTATCCAATCTAAAGTACAAGATCTATAATACAGAACCCAATCTGGAAAGCCAAAGCCCGCCCCTCTGCTTATCATCTTGCATTGCGTTAATTTTAATTCTTGGTTTTTTTCCTTGCCATATAAATCTCATGATTATCCTATTAAATTCTTTAAAAAAGGACTGTTTTAGTATAATAGGGATTGACTGAAATAAAAATAGGATTTTTGGCAGGATGCTCATTTTGATCGTCGTAATTCTCCCCAGCAGCGATAATTGTAATTTGTCCCATTTCTCCAAATTGTTCTGTATCTCCTTTATTAGTTTCATGCAGTTATCTTTAAACAATGTGCTTGTCTTCTTTGTAATTTGTATTCCTAGATATCGAATTTTCTTTTCCTCTTGGAAGTTCGTCTTCTCTATTAACTCCTGTCGTTCTTGTTCTCTCATGTTTTTAGTAAGTATTTTGGTCTTCTTTTGATTTATTCTCATACCTGCCATGTCACCAAAGTTTTTTAACGTTGTCTTCTATTGAATGCAGTGGATCTTCCAGTATAATGACTAAATCATCTGCAAAAGCCTGCAGTTTATAGACTTGGCCTTTTACCTTTAATCCTTTCAATTCCTTTTTATCTCTAATTTGTTCATTTAGTATTTCTAGAGTCAAAATAAATAGGAGTGGGGACAGTGGGGACACCCCTGTCTAGTACCTTTCTGTATTTGGATTTCTTTTGATAACTCGCCGTTAATTCTCACTTGTACCTTTTGTTCAGTATATATTGCTTTAATTAATTTCATAAATCTTTCTCCAACCTGCAGTGTATCCAACGTATATATCAAAAAATTCCTATCAAGATTATCAAAGGCTTTCTCTGCATCATGGCCATCTGTTTCTCTGGGTGTGCTTCTTAATATTCCAAGGAATTTAGAACTATCCTTATATTATTCTTCATCAAAGAGGAACCCAGATTGATCTTGATGTATCAAGTGGATTAAAATTTCTTTTCATTCTAGTTGCCAAGATAGTCGCATATATTTTGTAGTCCACATTCAACAATGAAATCGGCCTATAATTTTGTATTTCTTTACCTTCCGTGTTTTCCTTATGTATAAGAGAAATTATCGCTTCAGTCCATGTTGCTGGTATTTTCCCTTCTTCTTCGACACATTCTAGCAACTTCTTGAATGGCTGGAGTAGCACCTCTTCCAGTTCTTTGTAATATTCCGCTGGTAGCCCGTCCAGACCAGGCCCTGAGGTTGAAGGGGCATGGGTCAGTCCCCCAATGACCATCAGGCATGTGGGAGGGGGGTTGGGTGAAAAGGGGCTGTGGGCGGTGGCTGCAGACTTGGACGGGGTGGTGGTGGCTGGCGCCGTGGGGAAAGGGGTGGGGTCTCTTGTCATTGTGTTAGTGCAAACTCCAGAGAGCCTCCGTGCTCTTTTCTCTCCCGCCTTCACGCCCTCGTTGCTGTCAATAGGCTTGTTTTTTCTGGAAGTCAAAGAAGCTGAGAGACACCCTCAATCCATCCTCCCTCCCTCCCTCCCTCCCTATCTTTTCCTTCCTTATCTTTTCCTTCCTTCCTTCCTTCCTTCCTTCCTTATCTTTTCCTTCCTTCCTTCTTTCTTTTCCTTCCTTCCTTCCTTCCTTCCTTCCTTCTTTCTTTTCTTCCCTTCCTTCCTTCTCTTTACCTTCCTTCCTTCCGCTCTGCGGATGTCCTCTGAGGGACAGCTGTGGCCGTACAGGAGGTTCCCGGGGCTGGGCACAGAGGCTGCCTGGCAGAGGGGAAGGGTGGGAGACAGGCCAGCCGGTGGGGAGGAGGCCATCAGGGCCATGGGTGGGCAAGCACTTTCCGAGCTGGAAGTGGCAAAGGCAAATCCGAGGGCTTTTTGGCTTCAGTGGGAGGCAAGCAAAGAGGGGAACGGTGGGGCTGCTCTGGCTTTGGGGGAAGGGAGGGCATTCCCCCCCCCTTTTTTTCCCACTGGCTGCCCTGGAGGTCTCTTCTGTTGAAGGGCACTGGCTTTCTCTGGGAAGGTCCTGGCCTGCCGGTCCCTGGAGGAGCCGAGGGCACAAGGGGCGAGGAGTGCACGAGGGTGTCGGGCTCTGCAAGATGGCCCTTTTTTCCCTCCAGTGGCTCCTGGCCCTCCTCCTTTCTCCCACCACCTTGGGTGGGGTTCAGGGGTCTCGATACAGGTCAAAGGGGGGGTCCTGAATGAAGGCTCGGGGCATGGCTGGGGAGGGGAAGGGAGGGGAGAGGTGGGGAGGCGCGTTGTCTGCCCTGGCCTCTGGGAGCGTTCCCGCCCCGCCCCCCCCCCCCCGCGCCAGGCCCCGGGCACCACGTTCTGATCAGCCCCCTGGTCTCGCCAGGACGGCAGCCTTCCCCCCCCCAGCTCTCCCCCCTGCTCCTGCGGCGGCGGGGGGGGGCAAGTCCCACTTCTGTGATGGGGCAGCTGATCTCCCTCTCCTCAGGATGCAGAAGGAGGTCGGCCTTGTTTTATTGCCTGCTTATGGGCTGCTTCTCTCTCTTCTCTCCCTTTCTCGCCAACAGTCTTTCATAGGATTTTTGCTAATGGTGAGCAAATTTCTCTGCTCTGTGACGTGACTGTAATCTTCTCAAAGTAGAAATGTACACATATGTATACATATATGACTGTGTTTAGTTTATATATATACACATATACATATATATATGTAAAGCGTCTTTTTTCCTCCCCCTCCTCCAGTGTTCCTTGCTTAGCAGGCTGGTGTG